TTGCCAAATTATGCCCAAATCCCCCCAAATTTTGGGAAATTCATCTTAAACAACCCCAAAACTTTGGGAAATTCCTCTCAAATTATCCCAAAACTTTGAGAAATTCATCTCAAACAACCCCAAACCTTTGGGAAATTCATCTCAATAATCCCAAAACTTTGGGAAATTCAGCCCAAATAACCCCAAATCTTTGGGAAATTCATCTCAAACAACCCCAAAACTGTGGCAAACAAAGCTCAAACCACCCAAAACTGCCGAATTATGCCCAAATCCCCCAAAACTTTAGAAATTCATCTCAAATAATCCCAAATCTTTGGGAAATCCGTCTCAAACAACCCCAAAACCTTGGGAAATTCATCTCAAAACTTTGGGAAACAAAGTTCAAAGCTCCCAAAATTGCCAAATTACGCCCCAAACCCCCAAAACTTTGGGAAATCCATCTCAATAATCCCAAAACTTTGGGAAATCCATCTCAATAACCCCAAAACTTTGGGAAATTCAGCCCAAATAACCCCAAATCTTTGGGAAATCCATCTCAAACAACCCCCAAACTTTGGGAAATTAATGTTAAACAACCTCAAAACTTTGCCAAACAAAGATCAAACCACCCAAAATTGCCAAATTACGCCCAAATCCCCCAAAATTTCGGAAAATCCATCTCAAACAACCCCAAATCTTTGGGAAATTCCTCTCAAATTATCCCAAAACTTTGAAAATTCATCTCAACAACCCCAAAACTTTGGGAAATTCGTCTCAAACAACCCCAAAACTTTGGGAAATTCATCTCAAAACTGACAAACCAAGTTCAAAGCTCCCAATATTTGAGAGATGAGGCTCAAAACCTCAAAACTTTGAGAAATTCATGACACAAAACCCCAAATCTTTGGGAAATCCATCTCAAACAACCCAAAACTTTGGGAAATCCATCTCAATAACCCCAAAACTTTGGGAAATTCACCTCAAATAACCCCAAATCTTTGGGAAATTCATCTCAAACACCCCCAAAACTTTCCCAAACAAAGCTCAAACCACCCCAAATTTGGGAACAAGCGCCGCTGAAACCGCCCCAAAATTTGACAGACGGCGCCCAAACCACCCCAAAACTTTNGCTGAAACCGCCCCAAAATTTGACAGACGGCGCCCAAACCACCCCAAAACTTTACAAAATCCTCAAAGTTCCCCCCAAATTCAACAAGAGACGCTCAAACCACCCCAAATTCCACAGCACGGCCTCAAACCGCCCCAAAATTGGACAGGAAATGCTCAAAACGCCCCAGGAATGACAAGTGAAGACCAAAACACCCCAAAATTTGGGAAAGGATCCCAAAATCCCCCCCCCAGATCCCCCAAACTTTGAGAAATGAGCCCCAAATCCCCTCAGATCTCTCCCAAATCCCCTCAAACTTTGGGAAAGGATCCCCAAAATCTCCCCAGGTCCCCAAATCCCCCCCAAATTTTGGGAAACAAACCCCAAATCCCCCCCAAATTTTGGGAAACAAACCCCAAATCTCCCAAAACTTTGGGAAATGATCCCAAAATCTTCCAAATTCCCCCAAGTTTTTGGAAACAATCCCCTCAAACTTTCAGAAAAAATCCCTTCAAACTTTGGGAAATGATTCCCAAATCCTCCAAACTTTGGGAAAGGATCCCCAAAATCTCCCCAGATCCCCAAATCCCCCCAGATTTTTGGAAACAAACCCCCAATCCCCCCCCAACTTTTTGGAAACAATCCCCTCAAACTTTCAGAAAAAATCCCCCCAAACTTTGGGAAATGATCCCAAAATCCCCCCAAGATTTTGGAAACAATCACCCCAAACTTTGGGAAATGATCTCAAAATGTTCCCAGGCCCCCAAATTTTGGGAAACAAACCCCAAATCCCCTCAAATTTTTGGAAACAATCCCCTCAAACTTTCAGAAAAAATTCCCCCAAACTTTTGGAAACGATCCCAGAATCTCCCCAGGTCCCCAAATCCCCCCAAATTTTGGGAAACAAACCCCAAATCCCTCCAAACTTTGGGAAATGATCCCCAAATCCTCTCAAAATTTGGGAAACGATCCTCAAATCCCTGCAAACTTTGAGAAAGGATCCCCAAAATCTCCCCAGATCCCCAAAACCCCCCAAATTTTTGGAAACAAACCCCTCAGACTTTCGGATATGATCCCAGAATCTCCCCAGGTCCTCAAATCCCTCCCAAATTTTGGGAAACAAACCCCAAATCCTCCCAAATTTTTGGAAACAATCCCCTCAAACTTTCAGAAAAAATCCCCCCAAACTTTGGGAAATGATCCCAAATTGTCCCCAGGTCCCCAAATCCCCCCCCGAGATTTTGGGAAATGCTGCTCCAAACCCCAAAGCTCCCAAAAGCTCGGAGCCAAAAGCTGCCCCCAGCTCCAGCCGGCACCCCGAGCTCATTAAGGCTTTAATTAGCAGTTAATTAGCCCCGGGTTCACCCAGCCCAGCCCCAGGGAAGTGTTTGAAGTTGGGATCCCAGGGATAACGGGGAATTTCC